TGAGGGCGCAATGGGATTGCTGGAGGGTGGTCACATTATCAGCACATTCTGTTGCAATGATGCAAAAAATATAAGGGATATAAATGACTAGTGTGCTGTTCAAAACATTTACCAAGAGGGCAAATGAAGGTCGAGATAGCTTTGGGGAAGAGGAGGTAGTACGGTTTTGGAATTATAGACTACTTCTCAATGGCAAGATGATGGATGAACTGGGTTATGGAAATAAGCATACTGGGCATCTGTTTATGCAGAGTCAGCCTTAACGCAAGGCAAACAAGGCAACTGCCTAGAGCTCCTTGCTATGAGACTCCCATAGATATTTTTAAGAAATTCTTAAAGATGAAGCTGCAAAACACAAAAGACATACTGTTGTCCCATTATCTAATGCACTACATTGTTCTGTTGTACAATTTCCATCACATTTTTTTATTGATAAATACTATGAGGGGCCCAGCATATTGTCTCTTTTCTCTAGGGCTCCACAATAGCTAAAGTCAGAACTACACCCGTATCATACAATTTCTAGGCCAAAGAAACTTCAGTATCATTCTCATATGTCCAAGAAATGATTCAGATGAGAGAGAGATATTACACATCTTCAATCTCCCAATTTATTCAGAATTACAAAAGAAAGGACAAAAACCTGGAGATGCTGGTGAACAATTTCAACAGCTCCTTTTTGTGAGAGTTCTGAAACTTCTTGATCCCAAATTTTTAGTCAAACTGGAACATGAGTGGAAAAGATACAAAGAGAGAAGGAAAAAAAGAAAGAAAATGAATGCAAGTGGAAAGACTGGACTGAATAATCTGTTGAACCCAAGGACCCCACATATGAACAAATGAACCTGGACAACCCCTCAACAGTCTCCAGATAGATGGTATGTCTGGATGATTGCTTCTATACATAGCAACTTGACTGTGGCCAATAGAACAAGTACAAGCAGTGGTTATAGGAGATTGAGAAGCAGAAAAAGAATGCAAGAAGATAGGGGTAACTTTTGCTACCACACATCGCAAAGCAGCAGGAGCTCAAGTATGGGCTGGAACCAAAATATGCTCCTGCTGATGTACCTCTCCTGAATAACAAAGTAACTCAAGTGAAATTCATTCACGAACAGAATGACATAAGAAGGGAGGTCTTTTTTGAGGTCTGCTGAAAAACTGTGAGAGACAAGAACCTTATAACACAGCCCAATGCGCTTGATTTTTGTTTGTTATCAAGCACAAAACTACATAATATGCTACTTTTGCTGATGGGCTATAGTATTACAGATACAAAATCAGTGAGAGATGCAGACAGAGAAAACTGTAATGTAGACAACCGACACTAATTAAAAGAATCAGGTGAATGACAGTAGTTTGATAGCCAATAACTATGCTGAAAAAAAGAAAGACTCAAAATTGAACAAATCAAAGTGTGGAGGGAAGAAACATGAGGAGAATACAAGGAAAAAAAAACATGTAAAAGATCCCCTCAAAGAACGATCTGGGGGTCTAGAACTTGTGAAGAAAGCTTTAGCTGAAACCTTGTACCTGCTTCATATTTAATGCAAGGAAAGTGAAAAAGATTAACATTCTACTGAATAATGAAGGCATCAGCAACAATCCAAACTTTGAAAGGAGGCAAAAATTACAAGGATTCAACAACTGAATCACCTAATACAACACTAGCACCCTCAGGCATAATAGAAATCAGCTCCAGATTTAAAATACTACATTCCTATGGAATAAGTGAAATAAGTCTAGCAAAAGCTTCCTCAGGAGTAGCAGAAAAACCCTGCTCCCCATTCAAAAAAAGACAAATATGTCTTGGCAAGAGGAAAAAGGTGGATGTTGCAGAAAGTAAATATCTCACAATCAGTAAACCTGACTAGGACACTACCAGATGATTTAACATTAACATATATTAATCAATGAGAGCTAACAATGCAGCCAAGTGATTGATATGCACACTAGAAGAAGACTGTGCAAACAAGGAGTTGTAGAATTTTTTGTATTAACCAAAGTGTTAACATTAACTTCAGATTTCATGAGCAGAGAAAACGTAGGTCGGAGGAAGGACTTCTTTAATTTGATTAACCAGCCCACCTGAGCAGCCACTAGAAGGAGCTGACGAGTATGGCTGGCCAACTCCAGTTCATAATGAGCCAGAAGCCAATTGTTCATATAATGAAGGAATTGCAACCCCATGGCATGAAGATGGCAAGCAAATTCTCTAACCACCCAGCAGGAAACATGAGGGGTGGAAGCAAACCCAAAGGGTAGTGAGCAAAATTGATAAACCACCCTGTGATAGATGAACCAAAGATATGGACAAGACCGTGGTGATATAGGGATGTGGAGATAAGCATTGGTGACATTCATCTTGGTCATCCATAAGCCAGGAGAAAACACCCATCATTGGGTGAGAAATGACTCCATGGTAAAATGGGCCAGTTGAATGAAATGATTGAGGCGGGACAAATTGATGATAGGTCTCCAGTCCTGTTTTTCTTGGGAACAACAAAGAGTCTGGAATAAAAACCTGGTGAATGATGTAGAACAGGTTCGATAGCCTGCTGAGATAGTAGTTCCTGAACCACCTCCAACAGGCGATGGGTGGTTATGGGATCCCAAGGTGGAGGGAAGGAAACAGGAATAGGAGACATGGAAAGTGGGGGAAAAAATGTGATCTTGAATCCTTCCAATAAAACTTAAAGAACCCAATGATCCTTGAAGAAAGAATGCCAATAGTGAAGTAAATCAGCAAGCCAAACTCCCACTGGACCAAAACCCACTGAATAGTCACCAATACTGTTGGCAACATGAAGAGCATCGTCGAAGAAAACGAGAACACGAGACACCCCAAAAAAGAAGGAATAGGTAAGGATTAAGAAGGGGAGGGACAGGAAACAGTAACAGGTGCCATATTGGGCTCCAACTGAGACAAACGAGCAACATAGTTGGAAAGGATACTGTTGTTGTACTGATGCAACTCATGATTCCAAAGGCATATCGCTACAGAACTGGGGCCACATGTATATCCCAAAGATAAACAGATGCAAGTTAAGGTCGTTTCATGACCTAGAAGGTCCCAACAACAGAGAAATCACATATGTAAAGCTAGAGTCAAAGTGGAGGAAAGAAGAGGAAGAGGATGTCCCCAGAAAACCCCTCAGGATTTTGGTGGAGAGCCTAAGAGAGGAGATGGATGGTAGAGAGATACCATAAAATAGTTGTGAGGGTAAGACGAAGGCAGAAAAATTGGGCATGGGTCAGACTTACAGGAGATTCGGGGGCCACACCCCAAACAGGAAAAATGGACCTAATAATTGCTCGTCCAGAAAAGAATAGTCTGCATGATGATATGCAAGAGCAAACTGATCCAAGGCATGCTAAACCCATCACTTAATTGTGGCGCAAATTGGTCAGCATGTGCCCAAATATCTGGGGAGGGGGGAAACCAAATAGGGACGAGAAGATTGGTCATGTAGCAAGGAAGGACGCGGTTCATAGGAAAAAGGGGAAAGGGATAAAACATCACATACTAGGCCTAACTGACTCCTCAGGTGGGGCATGGGATAAACGTGGATAAATCACCAGCCAGGTCACCGACACCTGAGGCCTAAGACACAGCTTTAGCCGCAGGTGTGACTCCCGAAGTGGTAACATGAACTTCATAATTCATAATGAGGAAATGTCAACCAATAATCAAAACTATAAATAACAACTGTAATAAACTGGGATTAAAGTGAAGTTATGAAACAGTCTTAATAGAATCTAGAAATGAAAATAAATGAAGACCACTTCGTGAGTATACTAAAGACAAACATGAAACTATAAACAAACAAAAAGGAACACATCCAAGTACAAGTGCCTCCAAACGAGAAGTAATAGTTCAGTACAGGCATATAAAGGAAATTGCATGCATCATGCGAGTATGTCACGCTCCTATTGGTGGTGAAGTGATGCATGATGCTTTACATGAGAGACATGTTGGAATCATTCAATTCTAATAGGGGGAGCAGAAGGCTTGTGGCATGCATAAAGAAACAATTTACATATAGAGGGCAGCACTGGACGAGAATAGCTAATCTTGTAAGCAGAGTGAAATACCGTATCAGAATAAATTTCCTTTTAATAAGTTCAGATAGTAAAACAATATATAATGGATATCGGATACTGAATCAAACATGGTACTAAATAACAGGTGTTAATTACCACACAGAAACATCTTGACAAGTACAAGTACAATAGAGATGTGATGAACTTCAGAACTTAAGTCAGACGTTATGAATAACATATAGTAATTAAATTTTTAGGAATGTTAAAAAAACTCACAGTGTGATTGTGTAACAAAGTAACAAGAGTGAAAAGCACTCCAGATAGATACTTTTTATATATATATAAAATCAAGTGCACAAGTGGGGCTGACATGAGAAGAATCTTCTTTTGATTAAGACCAGAATGAACTAATTTTGTTGAGCGAGATCTGTATACAGGAGTTGGAATTTAGTCATTGTTTATTTCAAGTTCTCAGACTTTACTGCTCCAGTTGATACAGGTTTATGTTTATAAGAAGCTTTTGTATCTCTGCACATAGCTTAAAAACAACTCTAAAAAGATATGTTACTATGACTTCTACAGAGGTTGATTGTGCTAGTTTTTCTTTAACACTGACACCAATATTTTACTGAAAATTTACCAAACACCTGTTTATTAAAATGCTTGCTTGAAAAATAACATACATGAACATCATATTAATTCAACTGTGATATTCTATGCACATCTGTCATTTCATGAAATATATCCAGTAAATTTGTTTAAATTATACCTGTATTAGGTATTTTTAAATTCAGCAATCATTAGCTTTCCTTTATAATAATTCTATATAAATTTTCTGAAATATCACAATACACTGAAATGTTATAAGTTTTCCAGGTGTTTCTGAATACACTGGTAATATGGTTGTATCATGATTTGGTAACTAGCTATTAAGACACATAATATACATACTATACCTCCATATGACATCAACCTTCCTAATCGAGAAGCTGGCACTTTTCTTTCTCTTGACCTTTCACTCAACTATACAGAAAAGTCAAAGAGGTTGCCCATTATTATCTTGACTATGTTTTTTCTGTCTGTCAACTTATGAAAATAATAAACACAACAAAGTACATAAATCCAGCAAATAGGATACATTTTTAACTGTACAATGGTTGAAATTTCAAGCATTTTGCAAACAGCCTGAATTTTACGTACTGTGCAAAAACTTGAGTTTTTAATACTAAGCTACAGCTTGAGTTTTGTGTTAAACACAAAAACTTAAATTATGAGTACTATGCTACACCCCAAGTATTGAATAATGTGTAATAGCCTTACTCTTGAGTAATATACAACAGCCTGAGTTTTGAGGAACATGCAACAGATCTACTTACAAGTGCATTTCAATTGTCTGAATTATTAGCACCTATAAAATGTATTAGGATTGAAGTGCAAGTACTTAAAGGAAGTTATTGCACAAAAAGGTTCCATTGGCCTCCTATTGATGAAGGACTATTGTCATTAACACAGTTCATGTTAAATGTGATTTTTAGGTAGGAGTTAAGTCGAGGCTCGTGGCATGCAAGTCTCATAGGCAGGTGTGCAAAGAATCCTCTTGGAAATAACATTTCAATCATTCAATAAATCATTTGAAACAAATGCAATTGCTGCAATTCAAAATTAATGTATTACATGTATGTTAAAAGATCATCTAATTATTACAACTATAATGCCAATAAAAAAGAGCATACTTTGCTTGAATTTGCAAGCAAACTAACAAAAGCAAATACACAATATCACAAATATTTATTTTACACTTTTTAAGTGTCCTTTGTAAAAATGTTCAATAACTATCTACTACTAGTGAAACGACAAAATAAGGTATCTGACCTTTACTTGTCCAAAGCAATTGGACCACCATTAAAGAAAAGCAATGTTCTCATGACTGCATTGGAGGAACAGAAGAAAAAAAGCAAAGTTACAGCATAAGTGTCAACCAACCTTTCACTAATGTGATATGCATGCCTGTACAAATATGTTTAACTTAATAAACTTTACATGTACAATAAAAATTAAATATAATTTAATCATGAAGGTTTTAAAACTCAAATATCCATCCTCTGTTCTTCATTTTACAAAGAATGGTAAAATTTATCCTAAAGAAAAAAAATTGGTTCTATTGCATCACAGTTTTAGTTTTGTGTTTTTTTTTGCTTTAAAGGATTTTAAAGTCCAGCAGAAATCCTGTTGTATTTTAATAACAACAACTTGTGATCTTGTTATGGTAAATGAAAGTATCAGTGTAATTGCTTATTTTATGCTTTGATTGTTTATTACAAAACTATGTGCAGAAAACATTACTTTTATAATTGATTAATTCATGTCCACTCCTTTTAAGAAATCCTGTAAACAGTATGTTTTTGAGTATTTAACAAACCAGCTGTTTAATGTTAACAATATGCTTTTTAGCTAATACACTTGATGAGGGTTTAATAATTACATTTATGTGTTTCTCAGTAGTTAAGGTTATATTTAGTTACAAATAAAACATCTTTCTCATTCTGTTTTATAACTTCTTTGACAATCTCTGGTTCTACCTTCATAATCTTGTGTAAACTCAATTCTTGTTGAAAAGTTTCCAGAACAGTTTGAGAACTTTAACGCAATATTTGAAAACTGAGTGACCACTAATAAACTTCTTGTACATTTATCAAGAAGTAGTTTAAAAATGCTGAATTAGAAAAATGTATGCAGTGATAACATTGATGTTAACATCCAGCACAAGGGTGTGCTACAATGGTACTGAGAAGGTAATCAACCCATTCCTCACATGGTAATATTTTATACTAGGTCTGCCAAAATATTTAATTAGTGTAGATAAGAAATAGGACAAAACTTACATGATATTCAGAAGATAAATATGGTGTACTATTGTTTTTCCAATGCATTTAGTAAAACCACACTTTGTCCAAACATTGAGATAGTAAAATCCCACTTATTTATTATGTAAGCAGCGTGAGTTTGGGTACTTGAATCAAAAACTTTCACCATTAAAAAACAACTAAGTATCATTATTTATAATATTACAATGTTTTCTTTTTATGGTCGAACTTAATAAGCCAAGTTATGTGAATTCAAAAAATGTTACATACGAAATATCTGGTAATCTAACTCAAACCAGTATCATTAATGCACATGTTACAGAGATGATAGGATACAAATAATGCTATACTAAATACAATATTACTATGAAAAAAGTTAAAACTTGTAAAACATTTTCTATTTAATGGCAAACAACTATATTCAGTGCATTTAACTGGCTTGGTTATAAATTTGGGCATAGTATATCATAACTTACACTCTACCACTTTTTACTAGATTTTGCACAATGAATTACCAACATAATTATTACCCTCACTCCCTTACAGAGGGGGGTGGGGTGAGAGTATTGCAATCGGGTCCATGTGTGTGTTTGTCTGTGTTTCTCCGTGCATATTTCGAAAACTAATTGACCAATGTACACAAAAATTTTATACAAAATGGGAAGTCAGTATGGGAAAGTCCTCCCCAGACTTGGTCCAGATCCAATTCCAGATTCTGGTTCACTTTACAGCATTTTTATCGTGGGGAGATAGGGCATTTTAACGATTTGGGGTTAATAACTATGTAAAGTATGATCAGATTTCTATCAAATTTCATGGGCACATTAGGGTTGAGGATTATCATGATACTACAAAAAATGATCCAGATCATTAATCATTTTAGATCTGAGAAGGATTTCCTGAATTTTTAAAGGTGAAATTTGACAATATCCAATATAAACACAGACAATCTTGAAAAAGTGTAGTAGGGCGAGGGTATGCAATCCCTCTGATTGCTCTTGTTGATCTTGGTATTTTTCCAAATCTCCATGGTGTATTCAGCTTTTATTTAGTTGTAGAACACCACAGTTTGTTATGAGTAACAACCAAAACTTGGGCAGTCAACATGAAAATGGCTATAACTAACCATATGAATTATGTGCTAGGTTTAAACTCCTTACCTTTTGCTGTGAGCTGTATGTTGTATGTGTTTGCCGACTTTTATTGAAGTCATTCTGCTTGCTCCTTGGAACTGCATTGTTAGATACTGGTTGAGCAACAAGAATTTCCTCAACTGGAGCATCAGACACTTCTAAGATGCTCCCTTCTCCCCAGTCCAATTTGGAGTCAACAACAATATGATTGACATTTGCAGTTTCCTTTGAAAATGGTGAGTGATTATTTTTTTTGGCATTATATTGAATTGAAGAGGTGCTTTCACTAATTACATGCATAGTATTATCTTCTTTGAGCTTTTCCTCTACAGTATGGTTAACTGGTACTGCATATTTCTTTACATCTTGAGAATGCGTTATAAAATGATTTCCTGATATTCCAAAGCTTATATTGGAATTTTCATTCCTTACTTCAAAACTTTCAGTTTGCTCTTCTGTTAAAGGACTTGACAAAGTATAGTCATCTTTCTCAGCTGTTTTATTTTTCATCACTGAAGTAGAGGTTATTACATACTGCTTCAATCCTTCTATGACCATTGAAGATCTGGCTAATATTTCTGCTGAATATGTCTGGAAAAGATAAAAGAATATATTACTGTTACACATACAGAGTATATCTTACCATAAACTAACAAAATACAAACTTCATTGCAATACACTTTTTTTGTTGCACAAGTTATTTTTGCTTTTCATGTCATGTACAATGCCATAAAAGTAGCTCAAAGAAAAACCATAATAAACACCAAATGTAATAAAGAGCATTACATATACAAATATTACCGGAAGATGTGACTACTTAAGCTAGCCATTCAACTATAAATGTATTTGTTGAAACATTCAGTCCAGTATGACACTTTATAATTAACAACTTTGGAGGGGGGGGGACACAATCGGGTCCGCATGTGTGTCTGTCTGTCTGTCAGTATGAGACAGACCTCTCCAAATTTGATCTAGATCTAAATCCGGATTCTAGATCACTTTGAAGCATTTTTTATAATGAGGAGAAAGGTCATTTTCGCAGTTTTGGGTTAATAACTCCGTAAAGTGTGACTGGATTTGTATCAAATTTCATGGGCACATTAAGATGGAGACTCCTCATCACACTACAAAAAAAAGATGATTAATCATTCTGGACATCAGAAGAATTTTCTGAGTTTTCGAAGGTAAAACTTGATGTTATTCAATATAAACACAGGCAATCACAAAAAAGAAATGATGTGGTGAGGATATACAATCTCTCTGATTGCTCTTGTTGTTTCTGAGTTGATTTACTACACAGACTCCATTAGATTTTACTCTTGTGAGTCATACTTTATAAGCACAATACTTTTCAACTGAGAAGAAATGTACTTAAGCAAACATCTAACAAATAATCCAAGGTATGGATTAATAATCCAGACAAGAGAGTGTAATACAAGTACTCTATTTGTGTGAATAATGGCATAAGTGATGTTTAAGAAATCATAAAATTATTCAGATTGGACAGTAAATTCCGTATGCAGATGTTATACCAAAAGTTAGTATGTACCAATCAGTACCAAACCAAACAGAATGTGGCTTTTCCTAATGTGGGTTAAACTTTGAGAGGGGGGATACAGCAGCTAGGGAGTCTGGGAGAATATTATAAAATCTCCCAGCAGGATTTGAGGTAAAGCAGTAATATTAGGTGGTTATTCTAGCATTCAAAGCACAGGTTTCCTTCTAACCTTTTGACCAAGATTTGCTGGAAGACATTAGCATTTTGAGAAATAGTACTTAAGACTAATTTTGTTGACTGACCATTAGCAGCAGATTATGCCTGTTGAGTGTGTAGCATCATGCATGAGCAAGCCAAAAGCTGTATCTGAAAAAAACCAAAAAAACTGGTTTTTAATGAAGTTATTAGTCGAATTTGATTTTGTTTGGTCTTTGAAGAGCTCAGCAAAAGCAAAGGCTTATACAGAGTTCATGCATTATATTCCTACATACGGTAAGAAGCTTAGATAACTAATGTTGCAATGGACCATGAACTTGAAAGTTAACAACCATTCATTTCCATATCCAATGGATTATGTGTAGATCAAACAGTTCTGTACACAATCACCTGAAATGAGTGCTGATTCAAATGACATATACTTGCGTATTTAGGTAATCTATCTAATATTTTAAATCATGCTTGGTTAAAACATAAGAGGTGACCCAATACAAGGAACACCCACCTCAGTCAATATTGAAGAGATGACCCTCCTGGTGACCAAGGCTATACCTTTTCCTATGTACATATATACACTACATGTAATATGTAATGTGCAAACATATTCCACAGGAAATGTTCTGACAAATACTCATTAACTATGTATAGCAATGCATCAGTTTACTGTTATGAATTAAAAATAATGGGGATTTGTTTTGTTTTTTGCACACTGGTATTCAAATAAAAGAACAACTCCATTTGGAAAATATAATTTGATTTTGTAATCAAAATAAATGAAACTTCTCAAAATAAAACTGACACAGTTTATGAACCTAAATGAGTAATTTTTTTTGTCTTACATTTTTTTCCATTCTAGTCTGCTGTTTATAAACAATTATATTAATTTGACTTGTAGTTTTTTATTTTTTTTACTATTTATTTTGTTATTTGTTATTGTTGCTGCTAGGTGGTTTTTATTTTGAACTGTTCCTTCATTTACAATTTACAGCTTTTAGAGTAAGTAAGATTTGTTTTTAGAACAGGTACAACATTTCAATCACTGGTGCGATCATTCTCAAGTACACAAGTGATCAAAATATCGTACCTGTTCTGAAAAACAAATCTTACTTACTGTAAAAGCTGTAAATTGTAATAAAATATACTTAATTAGTAAGAAAACTTAAAACAAAACTATTGTTCCTTTTGTTGTTTATCTTAATTGAATGTCTTACACCAGTCAAGGGTTCAGGTAGTTGAGCCTAAAGCTTGTGTAATAAAAACAAGACTTAAACTACATACAGATTGTCCAATTAAATTCCAGTATAATTCATTAATACTTATATTATGAGCTTAAAATAATATTTGTAATTAGTTTTGGCAAAAACAACAACCCAAAAATGATATATTTCCAATATTAATCACATGTATCCCATTAAGTTTCTTACCAGTTGACAAACTCATATAGGAAAAGTATTTTTCTTACATAGCCTTCTGTATGTATTTATTTTATCTTGCTGTTAAACTCAGAAGTGAGAAATTCAAACAAGTCAAGAGCTTTGACAAAATTACACTGTCTTAAAAATTATTGCACTAATAATCATAAATTAGTTTGTTGGAAAGATAAAAAAATCATTATTTGTTTATATATCAATCCCAATAGGCAAATTTCAATGAATACAATGAAGATTTAAGAAATTTCATAGCCCTCTAATGTAAATGTCTATAATTAGCTCAGATCCATGTAATAATGAGTACACATGCATAAAATCTTACATAGCTTTACTTTCCCACCAGAATTAAGATTTCTGAGTTTTAGTTGTAATAGAAAATCATATAAAGTTTTTCAGAGGTAGGTACTTATTTGTAATTTATTTCAATTTTAAAAAAACATAAAATTCAAATCAAATAGACTGAACATTTAATATGGAACCAGATGGACTTGAGCTAAGACAAAAAATATATATTACATGGCAGAAAGGTAATAATTTAGACCAAAGTTCCTCAACCTTTTCAATAACAGGGACTGGCTCAATGCCCCCTTAAACTGTCATGGACTACAAAGATGCAAGTACAATGAAAAACTATTATGACTTATATATGAATATTTTGCCAGTTTATGCTAATTTTTGAGTGACAAACCAGTGCTGATTCATGGTTCAGTGGTTGAGAAACACTGACCTAGACCATACCAAGTATGCTGTAAAACAGAGTTGGAGTAGAACCAGAAGTATTCAAAGAACTGGACTCATGGGAAACTGATCAAATGAGTACTATGACCTACTTTAGCAGTGGAAGGCTTTCTGGGGAGTAGCATTGTCATTAATTCTGAGTGAACATATTCCTGGGGCTTTAGCCCCTCCTCACCTATATTTGTAAAGGCTGGTGAGTCAGAAAATTGACCCAATCATTGAGAATTCAGGAAGAACCAAAAAATGACTTAAGGGAAATGCAATGGGCACATTGAAATAAAATAGAAAAAATATAAATGTAGATGTTCCCCATCCTAGTTGAAGAGAATAAGCATCCTGCCTCAGATATCTCTGATGCCATTCAAGGATGTGCACACACAATTAGGGAAGGAATCTGCCAAGGCATCCTCTATCAGCTTGTAGATGAAACTACCATAATACAAGGAGAGACTGTACATTATACATATGTGATAAGGAAAAACAAAGGTAAGTAACAACCTGTAAAACTTTCAGCTATAATAAACTATATAAACATAGAATCTCCTGAGACAAAAAGAGACCTTTTTTTAACTGTATGACTACCGGCTACTAATTCTTTTAGAGAGTAATATTGTTCTCATCATATATTTGTTCCAAAAATAAAACTAGTGGATAACATTGTTTAAAATTTGACAAGAACATTCCTAAAAGTATATAGTTTCAAAAAATAAAACATTTAATTTAATTTTTTCTATTATTTCTGATAAAAAATGTGTTATTTAATATAGTTATTTGCATTCACACTCTGAATAGTTCACCTGCAAGGTGACTTTTATATGAAGTATAAGAATACTATTTTTACCTTATAGTTTTCACATTTCATTTGTATAATCTCTAAAACTTCATAAATGAATATCAAATGTTTATTTAAGGTAAATGTTTATATTTTATTTTCCATCTTCTCTACTATATCATTAACTCTATCTGTTATCATCAACATACAGTGCAATGAAATGTTTAAAGTTAACAAATCAAAATATGTACATAACTTTCAACTCTTTGTAGAAATTCAGTATCATAATATTCTTTGTCTCATATGCTTAATTTCACATCTTTATCTTATATATATTAGTTTGCTAGACAGTTAGATTGCATTTATGTTTTACTTTTATATTTTAATTAATTATGTATTATTTGTGTTTGAAAATGCATATTTGAAAGGTTTAATGATTTTTATAAGTTTAACTTGTTACCTGGATTATTAAAGCTTATAAGCAAGATGTTGTTCAGTGAAGTGTGTTATTCTGTGGGAGCTGGTGGGTAATAACTATCCATGAACAATAAAAGGCATAGAATTGGAAAGGAAAATTAACCATTAAAAATAAATTATAAGTAAAATAAGGCAAGGAACTTGCCAAGTACTATGTACCTCTCAAGAGAACAACGGACTTAGCTTCATTTCATTCCATTTCAAAACAAAAGACTACATATGTGATTCCAATTACAGTGCCAATATTCAAGAGTGAAACCTACTTTTTCTGTTGGTTATAATCATGCCATTCAACTTCAAACTGTCGCATAGCAACACAGCTTTAACTCTACAATTAGGCGTGGCTGACCTGAAACTAAGAAAGTATTTACAAGGGTTTCCTTGGGGGAGAAAATCTCAAAAGTAAAATGAGACAGTAATGTAAACCACATGTACGTGTACCTTGGCTGTATGAAGGAAA